GACTGTTCTAGTTAAACAGTTCAACTGAAACATCATTGGTTCAACTTTTTTATTTGCTTTAGTCCAACTGTTTTTTATATTTTTTGTTTCTGCATTTTTTTTATTTTTTTTATTTTTTTTTCATACTTGCTTTGATTCTGTTTTATTTTCCTATATTTTAATCATGTAAAGCACTTTGCATTGTCTTTGTACTGAATTGTGCTATACAAATAAATAATAGGAACTCTTCATAAAGTGAAGAACATTATAGACACCAGTGAGCTGGATTTACTGGAGAGTTGTCCCAGTCTGTGCTGTTTTAGTTTTATTCTAGATTTATGAGTTTCTATTCTAACTTTATGAGAAATCACATTATTGAAAGAAAGCCTGAAACAAGATGAATTAATATTTATTCTGTTTTTCATAGAAAAGATGGAGAGACGTTCAGAGGATGGGCAGCAGGAAGTCCAGCAGGATTGGGGTAAATTATCAGAGCCTAAATAGTTGGAATCAAACCTTTCTGACCTGAAACTGGGTTTTATCCATCTATTGAGCAAAGACATGCAATTAGATAGAAGCTGATATTAAACAGACCATTAATTTATTTACCTGTAACTGAACAACAAATTGCCCATCATTTGCTGATCCTCTTTTTATCATATTTTTTCTCGCCCTTTAGTTTAAATATTAATTTCTCCCTGCAGGTAAAAAGCTGTTTGATGTTCGACCTGAGCTTGTAAAAAGGGTTTCCATAACAGTCCTGAAGCGGCTCCTTGATGACCTTCAAAAAGATTGTGTTTTTAATACTTCGGAGGTAGCTGGAATATTAGAAGGGAACGCAACCACAGAAGATAAGGCCCGCTGCACTATAGATGATGTGATGAAGAAAGGACAGGAGGCCAGCAGAAAGATGATCCAACGTCTTCAGCTCATAGATTCTGCTCTGTCATATCAACTGGGTTTGTCTTCTAATTCTTCTTCTTCTGTTCCGTCAGGTGAGTCCACACAGTTCCATAAAGCTGCTTTTATAGCAAAGCTTACAGCCTTTTTTTTCAACTCTAAATGCAAAATAAAACCTGTGCTGGTAAAATTTCCCAACAACCATCACCTGTTTTTAGAAAACTTTTTTTTTATTCTTTAACCAGTTTTGGTTCCTCTATGGAGATGTTCTTTGGAACAGCAGAAAATATATAGATTTGTCTTGTGGGCATTGGCCAAA